AAAGACACTAAAACGTAAAATACGAAATCATTTATTATCAAATTAAACGAGAGACACAAATATATTTCTTACTGAGCAACTTAATTCAAAAATTGACAATCTCCCGCCTTTTTGTTAAACACGAACCAATCTGTAGATGAATCTGGATTCATTCTAAATTTGCTATCTTCTTGTCACTTCTTGATTTCATTTCGTTTAAAAATCGAAAGTAAACGTGATCTATTCTTGATAAATTTAAAAATACAGTCATTTTAATCGTTCCAAGTTTATAAAAAAGAATTCCAAATATCGATGTAATCGTTTTTACAGGGATAATGATTATGCAGTGATATAGTTGTTACAATTTCATATAGGGAGCAACCATTTAACTTCAAGGGGGTGGGGGTGGGGGAGGGGGGATGGGGATAGGGTCGTGGTTTTTTGTCTGAGTCAGATTTTTTAGCTTTTTTATGCTATCAATCAAATCATTTTTCAAAATTTAACACTATAAGTTATGGAAAAAATCTGGATTCAGAATATTTTTTTGTCATCTGCTAGAACCCAATATTTTTGTGCATCAAATTGGGGATCGAACATTTTTTTTTAGGAAGAAAACATAACCCCATCCCATTCCTTTTGAAGTTAAATAGTCGTTCCCTTATGCTGTGATTCCTGGTTAAACTGTTATTGATCAGGAATGTTCCCTGAAAACAAACAAAGGTGAAGTGAAATTGTGAACTAGATTTCCGGATCCTTGTTCTTATCTTCATATTTAAGCATCACATTATGCAACAACTGCCTACATTTGAAGCATTCATAAGGCCCTCAAAGATCCTTGAAGGACTTAGGCATTTGTAAAGCTAGTAATATACGTCCTTGGTCCTTTACTGTTACCCAAAATAAGGTTGATTTTCATCTGGGGTAAAGTGACGTAAGTCCTCAAACTCCAAGCTGAAACCACAGGTACTTGTGGACAGGATAATTTTATTTTATTTTGGCTCTCCACCTTTTTTACCAAAAAGCCGGTATTTTTTCGTTTTCTATTAATTTCAATTATTTTTATGTATTATATAAAAAAACATAATTTAAATTAAAAGTTTTGAGCACCATTATTAACGTGAACCTCTATACGTAAGACCTCATGGGACGGCACTTTACCATCTACAGGTAATATGCATGTAGCTCTGAAACACCCGAAAATGTCAAGGTAAATCACTACCTATACAGAATGTACCATGTCAATGAAACTCTCCCGATTTTAAAGCATGACCATTCATGATTTAAGAGGGGTCCAAATTGAGGGGAATTCTGACTAGATTTTTTTTTCTCAACTTACATCACTTAACTAAAAAAACAATTAATTACATCCAGGAACAAAATTCTTTTTGTAAATTTTTAAAATACTCCTTGATATCGGCTACAGTACTTAGTGGACAAGCAGTATTTTAAAATTTCAATGATTTAATTCATAGTAAAAAAAAACAACACAGAAATCAATTTGATAGTCAATATGTTTCCTTCAAAAATTACATATCCTCATTGACCATGTTGACATTCGGTCTGAAAATAAAATGTGATTTTGGTATACACAGCATGCACAATGGTGAATGTTATAAAACCTTAATATCATGAATAGATATTGAACCCCAAAATGAATATCAACCAGTATATACGTGTGACGTCATGGGTCACAGAACCTTACCATATACAGGTAATATACATGTAGCTCCGCTGTAAAACCCGGTAATATCAAAGTAAATCACTACCTATACAGAATGTACCATGTCACAAAAATTATCACGATTGTAAAGCATCACCAGTCATCTTTCAAGAGGTGTTCTAGGTGGGGTAAATGTTTTAAATTCTGACTCAACTTTAATCACTAAACTAAACATTAAGTTTTTTAAATTACATCAAGGAACTATTTTTGTTGTTGTAAATTTACGTTTTTATCTGTAACTTTCGATAGAAGTGTGTGTTTCTTTTTAATTCCACTTTGGAACAATGCTTTTTATTTTAGGAAAGTTAGAATCATAGATTGACTCTACAATAAAATAATGAATCCACCCCTTCAATGACAGAAATAAACTGGAAATATATTTATGGTGTGTACAATGCAACTGCGACTATGCACATTTTTCTAGGAAGTTGAATAACTAGTACTAACCACAGCGTACATGCACATTTTTAAATGACTCCTTCCACTATTTCAACCAAGAATGACAAATATCAATGAAATGCTATAGTTGGTGAGACTTTATTCCTATAATTATTATATTTATATTTAGATACCAAATCATGTGTGTATTTACCATTACAACATTTGAGAAAATTTTCGTATACCCGTTCCTGTTATGTACAGAAATATGCGAAATATATGCAATTTATATGATTATTTTCTCTCTTATCTTCAACATATATCTATAGTTCCGTAACTTTCTATCTGTATAAACCAATGATCAACAAGTGCATACATTTTTTTGTGAAAACAATTATCAGCAATATAATTTCAAAAAAAAAAAGAAAAGAGATTTTAGTCATGAATAATATTCTAGTCTATCGTGTTGTTGTATTCGTTGATGAACATATTGAAGATGCACATAGACCTAGGTGAACAACACACTCTCTTTAGAACATCTAGTTTTTAGTTTAAAAAAAAGGGTTATTATCAAATTTGTTGATGGATTTATTGTTGTTAGTTAATGTTAATGTTCAGTTGCAAATACAACAGGCATATTGAAGACAACATCACAGAAATATAGTAACTAGCAAAACTATTCAGGCATCTCCATCTAAAATGAAACTTCATGGAATGCTACCTATACTTAAAAAAAAAAACCACTTAATAATTATATAAGATTTTCAAAGATTTTTATTGTGTAATTGTAGAATGAGCCTGTGTTGCACATGTTTTACAGTACTACTTTTTAACCCATTATACATGTACATTAAATTTGAAAAATGCTTAAATACTATTGCACATTGTACTTAAATTAAATTTTTTTTCAAAAAGAAATTTTGTTAAAAAATATTGAAATCGGTACTTTGAGTCTTTTATCTTCTTTTTTGTTTGTGCGTGTTGTGCTATATGGCAACATGATGATTCAAGCGTTACCTAACGGATGTTTACAGTTTGATTCTATGTTGTGTTGTTTCACAGTTTATTATGCCGAAGCATAGTTTGATATAAGATAGGACCTTTGATCGTTGTTGAAGGCCGTAGGATGACATAAATAGGTCAATTATTATAATTATATTGCATTTCTAAATCATTTATTAGTCAATGGTTCGCCATCAAAAATGGATCGACCGATTACAAATTGTTTCGAGATCATATATTTTTTAAATGCATGCTTAGTCGTCTGATCTTTAATTTTACCGATTGTGTTATTTTCCTGATTATGACATTTTCCCTAGGTGTAAACTTGAATAGCGGGTAATATATGTATAGCGGGAGGCCCTTACTCCCCGTTGAAGCATCAGTTTTCGCATCTTTTCGACTTCCTGTTATTCACTACGATTGTCATTGCTACCTTGATTTGTCCCTTCCCAATTAATTTACATGTTTGAACATCAGTAAACTTCGTATAATTTCCTTTAATTCGTATATATACTAAATGCGGTGGATCGGAACAGATCGATAATTAATGATTGGAAAACAGATTACATCGTAGATTCAGTTATTCTAATGTTTGGTTTAGTTTCTTTGTACCTTTAAATACTCATGATTATGGCACACTAGTTTGTTCCTGCCATTTTTGTCTTGTTTAGTACTGTACTTTTTTATTGTTTGATCATGGTGATTCGTTGTATTTATTTTTTTCATTTTTACTTGCGATGTGTTCATTGATTGTAAATACCTTTAAACTAGCCTTCAATAACTTAAAGTTCTCTTAGATTTGCAAATTGTGTCCTGTGCTTTTTTTGTTAATTAGTTGTGTTCCGTGTCCATCTGTTGAGTCAAGCATTTGAAAATTAATACAACATTTTTTAACTATGATGTTATGTTATACAAATGTCAAGAGTATTTTGTGTGTTGGACACTAGCACTCATTTTAACACCGGAACATGTTAAAAGGCGAATAATGTTAATCTTAAAAAAAAGTACTTAACCTTATGACTTAACCTCATGTCAAGACATTGCGTTTCAGTTGATTTTTGTTAGTTACTCTCTGCATCATTTTTCTATGTTGATTGTTTTAAAATAGATAAAGCCCTTTCTTTTTGTCGTTTGAATTAAAATTGTATCAGAGTTTGTGTTACCGTAACTTTTTTACAGTTTGCTATACAGCTGAGGTTTTAACCAGCGATGAAGGCCGTACGATTGGCTACTTTTATGTTTCTGCATTCAAGTCTCTGATGGATATTTTTTAGTAAGTAATCTTATCACATCTCATGATGTTTAAACTTAACTGTTGCGTTGAGTAATATATATTTTTAAATTGCTGCGACGATGACAAATTATATTGTATCAAGCAATACATTCATAAAATAACATCATTGTTTTGTTTTTGCCTTGCTGTTTAATTATGTTTTATTATTTCATTTCTGATTATTGATACATATAAACATGATAAATATACAATTGTAAATTCATTATTTTATAAATATATTCATTTATAATTTAATTTTGGATGTAATGCGTCTTCCGATTGGCTGACGTTGTTTTGTTTATCAAATCATAGACTATAATTTTGTCATGTGACCTTGACGTCATCAACGTTCTTTCATGATTAACTCCGGTTCATAATGGAATTAAGAATTAAATTATAAGAAATGACTGTAATATTTTTTCTGTCTATTCGAAATAACATAAAAATGTGGTGCACACTTTAAAATAACCCGCTTCGCGGGTTATTCAGTATGCACCACATTTTTGACGCTATTTCTTCATAGACAAAGAAATATTACAGTCATTCCTTAAATAATAAAAAAAAAAATCTTCATAAAGAATATTTCTTTAAACGTTATTAAGTAAAACATTTATAAGTGATCAAATTACATGTTTTTATGAAACAAACATCCTTCTGTTAGAGTTGAATTAAATCATGTGTTCATCGTATAAAACTGCAAAACGTATATTAGTGATCAAATTACATGTTTTTATGAAACAAACATCCTTCTGTTAGAGTTGAATTAAATCATGTGTTCATCGTATAAAACTGCAAAACGTATCGATGAGCTATCACTCAAAACAGTGTGCTTTCAGTGTTTTTTTGATTTTGCCATTTGATTGGGGACTTTCCTTTTTGAATTTTCCTCGGAGTTCAGTATTTTTGTGATTTTACTTTTCATGGACGGAATCATTAAGGAATATGCATAACACATGTTCTTGATTATACACAAGTACATTTCTTATTTTGCATGAAATATTATGCAGCAGTGATGATTTTCGATTTGGTTGAATTATATTTTACATGTAGTCCGGTCGCTGTATTTTTGATCTGAAAATATATGTACAAGAAACATATTACATGACACGTGATAGTTAAGTATAATTGAAAATATTGTTTGGTCATCTCATTATTCATAAACAAGATTGTGCTAGTAACAAAAAAAAAAACAAACATGAAGTTTTTATAAAACGCTTGTATTTGTCATTGACTAATCATGTCATAATAGAGTCTTTGGTAAGGATTGCAAGTAATTCCTGCTTTACTAATATATATATATATATATATATACCTCTATTTTGATCACACATATTGTTTATGTACTAATGTATTTTTAGCCGTTTAATTACTTTTTGTTTTCCCGTTTTCTTTGATTACAAAGCGAACATTTGCTTGTTAATGGTCAACGTTCAACCATGGTGATAAACTATACATTTCCGTCAGTTTTTTTTAAATTTTTTTTATTGTAGATGTTACATGTATCTGTTACTAACATTTATTAAAAGAACATAATTATTAATCAAATACACATGTTATAACTTTTGTGCATTTTTTTAGTTAAGATATTGAAGTACTCTTTTTATGTCCAAACTGTATGATCATACCTGCTATAATCGGAATGAAAGAAATCCCACTTTGTCCTCAAATGTGGTCTTTTAATAGCAAACTACAACCAAACTTTATTTATTAAACAAATGTATCTTGTTTTCTAAAAATAACAGTTAGTTAAAAATTCTGTTCATTTTGACATAGGAAATGTTTTGTCCTTTGCCCTTCTAATAGTTGTTTGTGCGTTGTATCAATTTGCTGAGTCAAACTCTTTGTGAACTGATTTATCTATTGTACCGTCACTGCACTGTCCAAGATGAGGTTGAGGACACATGGCTAGTGCTTATATTTGGGGTTCTTCCCATTATATTACATAATTTATTAAGTAATATCCCTGTTTCCAAGTTGTGCAATACTGCAAAATGTTATTGCTTAAGTAATGATATAGGTTTGCTCAAGATTGTAAGACTTTCAATCAACTGTATTGACTTTGTTGAATAACTGTCTTATTCACAATTATACTGCATCTTCAATTTTATTTACATGTGCTCCGTGATGAAGGCCGTACTTTTACCTATAATGGTTTACTTTTACAAATTGTGACTTTGATGGAGAGTTGTCTCATTGCCACTCATACCACATCTTCTTATATCTATATACAATGTAAATAATAAAACAATAATGGACAACCCGACTTCACGCAAAGGCTTTAATTGGACATTGTGGCAGTACCATTTGTATAAGATACCGTGATATTATGCTGAATACAAAACTATAATACAAATAATAAGAATTGGATCCTTTAGCAATATAGACTAAGACTATGTTGTTAAATGTAATTAGTCTAGTATTCAGTGGTAGTTAAAACAATTGGTTTGCGTTTCGAAAAAATGTGGAACACACAGACGTGAATTAAGTCATATATGAGGAGTAAATAATCGTCAAGAAACAGTCAAAGTTTGATTTGATTCCGCACTTTTGAGGAACTCATCCTTGATATACGGATTAACATTTAGTTTACCAGAAGCTCGTTTTGTTTATAAAAGACTCATCAGTGACCCTAGAATCACAAACGTCCAAACGTCCGAATTGTATAACTGGTTTACATATAAAAATTAAAGCATATTGTTGATTAAATAGGTACATCTTCGCTTACATATTTGTTTTACTCGACCTTCACCAAAAACTTCGCAACACTATATCAAGATAATATACAGTAAAAATAATCGTCACAAAATAGTTTGTTAAAATTTCATTGGTGTTGGCATTTGCAATATGTTAAGTTTGAATTGGTGGTTTAAAATTACATATAATATATGATACATGTATGTCTTTGTATTTACCTCTTCAGAACAGAACGATTTGTTGTTATATGAATGTTCAGATTGATCATCCATTCCTGGTTTCCTTGACGGTTTTGCTGACGGATTGTAGATATATGTCTGAAATAAAGTATGCAAGAAAGAGTTAATTTCAAAATTGATGAAAGCCGGACAGTTTTTATTCTATACTTTAGCTTTCATTTTAGAAATATATACATTTCGATAAAATTAAAAAAAAAACCTTGGTTCAGAAAATATAATTCAAGAAAAAAACACAAAACACCTAATTATAATGAATGCGATGAATGAATTACGGATAACACATACACTGATTGAAATAATACAAGATATTTCTGATATAAAGATTCATTATAATAATAATTATTTAATGAAATTGAAACAAAAGTCGTGCACAAATAAGGAGATGTTATGTGGTTGTTAATGGGACAACTGTCTAGATGGATTTAAGCAACTCGTTGGCTCCAACTACATTAGAGAAGGTTACCCTGCAATACTTTTGATTAACTGATAGCCTGACTATGGTACCATTCTATAGACATTTAGGATTTAATCTAAAGTATCTTAAAATTAACTAGCATGTGTTTTTCTCATATCAACCTTGAAGATGAGTATTAACGCTTTCCTCTATTTATAAAATTGATATCTGATTAAATCATTTTTCTAACAAATGTTTGACTTCTTTGCATACGTCAATTTTTGTATTTGTAAAGGTAGTGACATTACTAGACACAACATTAACAAATACATCACTTCTATATTTTCTTTGTAATTTTAAACCCATTACTACTTGTTCCATTATTAAGACAAATTTATGATATGAGTAACTTAGACATCAACCACTCTGCATTTAAACTAAATACGTGTTATTAGAATTATCTTGGAATAAACTGTTACTCTTCCTGAAGTTAAACATTTATTTGAAAATTAGTTCGCAATTTAATCCGAACGAGTACATCTGCTAAAATTATGAACTCTGGCAGCAAAATTGATTTTAAATCTGATTTAGAATCATGTTTCTACTTTGAGATTCAATACGTAAATATAAAAACAAGGCTTCCAAAACACTGCACGTTCAAGAGTTTAACTTTTGCAGTTCGTGGTATTTCATGTATCACTGCTTCTCCGGTAAAGTACACAGATGATGAAACTTATATGTCCCCGATCTTTGAACTTTAACTACGCCAGATTCTGAATGACTGTAAGCATATATTTTTTATAATGCAAACCATAGATACTTACATCAGAATATTTGATATTCATATCAACAAATGCGAATATGCAGGCCTCTGTTACAATTCAAAATCATTAACATTGATTAGAAACGTAAACATACGATTTTATTTAAATTTCCACTATGAAAACATATATAACAAACACGACTAAAGTGTGAATTCGCATTTTTTTAACCAAAATTTATATGAAAGATATACTGACATAAATTTATCACTTTTTTGTGGGTCAATTTTATGTGCCTATATTTTCTTGGAAATGATTCATTGTAGTTTAGTCATTAATATAAAGATTTGAAAAATTCCATGTGTTAAAATTAAATTTGAACAATAATACGTCTGAAAAATGAAAACTATGTGAACATTATACAAACTTTAAAGCCTTGTATCAAAGCCTACTTTTTATTTACGTGTGAAAGGATGATGTATAATTGGAGCATTTCCTGAAACATTTACTTAAATCAAATGTCAAATTGTAATAGTTGCTTATACTACTTGTTTATAGCAATATATTGGTTCTTATAATACAAGCAAACACATTGATATATTTACATTTCCTCTGTTTCTTTTGGCATCTTCGATCCCTGTGTACCTTCTGTCGTCAACGTTATACGCACTATCTCGCATTGAGAGGTACACATTAGAAGGTGTCCTTTGACGTTCAAAAAGTCCCGCTGGATGCTTATTACTTAAAGTATCGTGTTCTGTTCTGCAAACCAAAACATACACAGTGTATTAACTTGATAATTGATCAATATATGCATATTTTGCAAATGAATTTAGCGATGTTATATATGTACAATAAACGATGTAACAAAACAATAAAATACATCTTTTTCATGCATTTTCACTGTAATCAACAATCAATTGAAAGTAAGATTTGACCAATCAAAAGACAACGATTGGTACTACAACCACGAATAATTGTAAAACACGTCATCAAACAAATTATATGACTGATTATAATAATACGTTTTATCTAAGGAGCGGCACTACAACGATGAAAGATTAAAATACACTTAATAAAAGAAGTAATTTTTTAATTCAAAGTATGAATTTGCATCTTTCAATCTAGTAACATATCACCTTACACATTATGTTAAGTTGTGATGCAATATTCCAAACAAATTTAAAACCTGACAACCACGCCTTTTTAGTAGCATATATAATATTAATATATGATTTGTTAAAAATATCTTTGTGACTTTCTAGAATTTGCATACAACCATTACATCTAGGTGTTTTGTCATTAAACTAGTTTGATATTTATATCACTTTTGTTTCATATGTTTTTAGAACACGAGGATTTATAATCCTATATGCGTAAATTTGAACGAGCTACAGGATACATAGTGAGCATTCACTTCAATGAATAATACCTCGTTTTGTCTGCGTCAAGGAACACATTGATTAATTGTTTGGCGATTGCTTTACATCAGCACAAAATGGCCATATCGATCAAGGAAACAAAGACATAAATAAAACATAATATAACATACATATAATAGTCTTTTTCTTGTCTTTCTTTGTGATTTCTACTTCTGCAGACTAAACAAACTAATATAGTGACAATAATGATTATTCCACCACTTCCACATGCAGCAGCGATTATATACTCTGATGCAAGTTTTAATTTTTCTACTCTCGTGCTGCAAAATTTGCCCGAGAAGACATATTTATCATCTTCTGTACATCTGCAAAAGTTAGTATCTCTTGTGAAAAATTATCAAACAACATAGGGAACTTATATTATTTTTGAAAATATACATAAATATTTTTATTATATTTTAAGTTAATCCTGTATCTTGTTTTGTCGAAAAAAAAGAAATGAACGTTCGGGTGTCCTAGCAGTTGGGAGTTGAGAGGTAAATTTGAATTCTACTTTTTATATAAAATGTACAATTAATCTATTTAAGAATCAATTTAAAATCAATGCTAAGCAAATATGTTCTGTCGTACACATAGAAAAGTCGCTTACAGATAATACCCTGAAGAACTCCTCTGATTTGTCACTTACCGACACACTGGTGTTCCATTTATATCCAAAATACACAAACCATTATTTTGACATGTAAAACCAACACAGCGTGACAGACAGGTATTGTTGATTTGGTTGAACGAATATCCTAGGCCACCACAAAGTAATTTTGATTTGTTCTCAGGACTATTTATTTTCGTTATCTCTAAAACAATGAATGCATCGAAATCTATCAATATGTCATGCAAGGACATCATTTTAAGATAACTAAAGAAATGTATGAAAAAAGTGCGGCCTTTATAATAAATTGTTTGTCTCATTTAATGAACGTTTCGGCAATTGATTAGTTTAATTTATTTAAAACAGTTTTTTACTCAAATAAATTGAATTGGATTGGGCAACAGGCACAGCCTATGTAAGCCCTCTCCATAAAACAAGACACAATATATTACATTGAAACAAAACAACACATGCAGACTTATTTTTTCAAAACCACCTCATAGCTGACTTGAAGGATACTTCAAATAGTTAACTCAGAATTTTTTTTTATTAATATTCTAAGTAATAAACTACTATATATCCTATATTGATTTAGAGGCCTTACATTGAATGAAACTGTCTCCAGTCAGCATGGTCAGCTGTTCAATATTGTTATCATAATAACTCATTTTTTCAAAACAACATGTTTGATATCATGTACTTATTTTTTCAATTTATCGCACCTGAAGAATAACAACGGTGAGTAAAAAACCATATTGATACATTAAAGATTCATAATTAATATAAAAAAAGAATATATAATGTAAATACAAATTTTTAAACAAAATAAGAATAAAAAAAAAAAAAAAAAAAAATAAAAAAGATGGTGTGAATGATATAGAAAATAGAGGTGCATTCATGGTTTTGTAGCTTTTATAATATTAATCATTAATTTATTAATTATTTTTTTAATTTTGGTTTCAATTCTAACTATTTTTCAGCCGGTTGGGTTGAATATAAAATAATTTAAAACATGCAAATTTACAAGTTTATTTCAATACTCAATAGATTGATCACAAAATAGTCATAACTTTAAATCAATATCAACTTCATAAGCAGACAATTTATCAAGGAGTATGGTCCTGTTTAAAGTGTATAATGGACAATAAAAAAATAGTGTTGATTGTCTTTACAGTGATTTAAACATTAAGGACATGATGATTTTCCAATAAAAAAATCTTGGAACAAGTGAGAATGTAAGTTACTTGCTTCATTTCGCAATTGACAGTAAATAGTATTGAATTTTCTTATACCAGAACAAAAATATTTAGGAGTAATCTCTGGTTTATATATTTTATCAAGTAAAGATTTGAACTGGTTAATCGACAAAGCATTTTTTACATATGGATCTAATGCATACCAGATGGTATGAAACTTCTATAATATGAAACTGTTCTGCACCTTGGAATGGTATAGTTTTGAGGATCTCTTCTAAAATTGTAATCATTTTATGTGAGAAGACTAGGTTCTAATAAATCTTTCATATAACTTGGAGAAAATTCATTGTTTTATTTTATAAAGTTTAGTCAGTTTATGCTTCTTCCTTCTGTCTGAAAATGTTTCAAGCCCTAATTCAGTGAACATTTTTGTAAGAGAATTTGTACGTCGGAGACCAGTAATAATACGAGCTGCTTCAATTTGATCACTTTCCAATAACTTAGATTCTTGTAAAGTAATATTGTCCCATATAATATTTGCATATTCAAGAATAGGGAGAATAAATGCTGTATCAATAAGTACATTTCGATCCACAATATATTTCACTTGTCTTAATAAATGTAATCTATAATCTATATAATGCTTTTTTATAAATTGTACTTGCATATAATTTCCAACTGGCCTTACTCTCAAAGTTGAGACCTAGGTGACAATGACTTTTAACTTCTTTAATTTGATCCCCACCAATTCCAAAATATAAAGAAGGAGGATCTTTGTCTTTTCGAGAAAATAAAAGGGTTTTTGTTTTTGAGGTATTAAATGTAACAGCCCAATTTTCAGCCAATGTTTTTATCCTCTCAAGATCATCAATCAATGACCTAGATACAGTATCATAATCATCATCAATAATAGCATATAAAGAGGTGTCATCTGCGAATAATCTAATATGATTACTCATATTTTCCACAATGTCGTTTATATAAGTTAAAAAAAGGAAGGGACCCAGTACCGAGCCTTGGGGTACCCCTGCACTAATACATTTTTGAGATGAATAAAACCCACCCAAAACAACTGTCTGGCATCTGCCACCTAGGTAGTCTCTAATCCAATCAATTAAATTACTATTAAAACCAAAAACTTTCAATTTATACAATAAACCATCATGCCAAACTTTGTCGAAGGCTTTAGAAATATCACAAACAATAAAGCGTATATCTTTTCCTTTATCAAGATTGGAAATAATAGTATTATATATTTCTGTTAGTTGATTTACTGTACTATCACCTGGTTGAAAACAAGATTGAAATTTACATAATGAATTGTGATCTTTCATGTAATTAAATAAATGTTTGAACAAAATGTTCTCCATATTTTTTTTAAATAATTAAAACAGGAGTGACATGGGAAATTGTCCATGCACATCGGAACCTTTTTGAGTTGCAGTGAAATATTGAATAACAAAGTAAGTGGTTTGACAATACCAGATTTAATTTCTAGGGGAAACACCGTCCTTTCTCTTTCCAACTCATTAACAATACATTCATTGTATATACTTTCGTCTGACGATGATGCTAGAATGTTACTACTAAAAAGTTATTATATGAAACCATAAAAGACGTCTCTTGAACAGTTACCGTGAGGTTAAGCTTAGGCAGGCTTTATGCAGTTACTTTTAAAGATGACAAAAAAGTTATTACCGAATTATATCAATGACCCGTTAAAGGTGATGCACTGTGATTTCGAATTTGTTATCTAACCTAATCAAATTGAACGTTTAAAGGCATCTTCAACATCATGACCAGCGTATTGAAATCGAATGTTATACACAATGAAAGCTGAACTCCACTTAATGAATGACTTTATTATTTATGTTCGGTCTTTTAAGAGCGGCTTAGATAAAGATTATGGTGTCAGATATTTCTATATTCAAAACATCTCTGTAAAAGTAATTAATAGAACGGATATAAAAACAAAACATTAAAATGACAACCATATAGAAATATATAAAATCGGCAAGACGGATAGTGAATATCAATAAACGAATAACGAATCATCCGTATATACATATAATTTATATATTTTTTTTAAATTTTGTCTTCTTTAGTAATTTATTCCCCTGCTATTGTATATTTATTAAACAGTGAGTAGTCGTTACGATATTGTTTATAGTTGTAACCAACTTCTTATTGATAATGTCTTTACATATCACTAGTTATCCAATTTTGATCAGAACCGCTCTTAAAAGAATGAACATAAATAAATAAGTCATTTTCAGTCTGTCAGTCACTTTTAAGAGTCATCTTCGTCGGTAAATGCAGTACTATTCAGACAAGTTGTTTGCTGTCAGCTGAGAGTATTTTAGCACTCGTATAAGATAACATTTAAAATGATTTCGTTAAAACTGTACCTGTTTCAAGCCTGATCAATATGTGGACTGGATCGACTATTGTCAAATGATTTATACTAGGTGTTTTTATGAAGACAGATGTTTGAATTCTTATAGCTTCAAATGTTTTCCTTCCGGCATCATTCAATTTATCTGATGTGAGCGTTTTGAATGGGGCAGCTATCACTTTAAACGCAACCTCTATCCTATAAAAATAAAATACATGGTCGTAAATAATTGGTTTTAAAGTTTAACTGAACTATACATCATTAACATGAAAAGAAATTTATCAAGAACTTAAATGAATATATTGGTAGACGAATGTCAACTGTTGTACAAGCTGAACAAGTCAATAAAATGACATGGGAAATCAGCCGTAAAAACGATTTGGATAACATACGAAAGTTGTATCCCTATGACAGATGTACAAAATGAGTTGTTCGCCTTAAATATTTGTATAAATATTTTAAAGTGTGAAAATAATTACAGTAACAGTTAATTTATTGAAATAATACCCTATATCAAAACTATTGCTCAAAATTGTTTCACCATCTGAAACATCTTGAAGATCATGAATAATTTTATCAAACATGCTACAAAGTCAATAACACATCTGTATCTCAAACCATATATCTTAGGAATCAGCTATCTTATGGGACTGGGAGTGAAATATTCTTATGGACACCATCACGAATTGGTTGATCTATACGATGTGTCTGTGTCTAAACTAACTAATGACATTTTTACCACGTCTTAGATTGTGGTTTAACATCTATGTCGTCTGTCTGTGACCTATTCCCGAATATGACTGCTTTACCAAGTGTGAATTTGCATTGCTATACGACGTGTTTTGGTATTTCATACATCCAACATTCATGTATTTATTTTTGGTGTTTCTGTTGTAGTTTCCGTTCGATAATGTGTTATGTCTTATAGTAGTCCAAATAAATATAAAATTGCCTTTTAATACATTCATTGTCATGATAAGTTTTGGACTGGTATTGTGAAAATAATTGTATGTAGTTCAAGATTACATATTCGTTGCATAACTGAGTCACTAGTTGTGATGTCCTGTGCTGTCTGTCGTTGATGGAATATGTTTGTTGTTGTTCTGCGGTTTGC